GTCTTGGGAGGAGGCTCTGTGGGAAGGAAAAAGCAAACATGTATTGAAGGACCAACCAACACCTCCAGCTCATGGGGGTGAAGTGCCCTGACCCCCGACCCTCAACCCCCCCAACTCCAGCAGGAGGGCAGCAGGCTTGCCTCTGGGCCAGAGGGAGATGTTCTGTTTGTCGACGGAGAAGTGGACACAGGGAGGCTCCTCGAGGGAAGTCATCCTGAGCCATGCACGTCGCTCCCGGGCCTCCAACCAGGACCTTTTATCTCCAGGAAATGAGAAGTGAGTCTGATGGGGAGGCTAGAGTTCCTCATTGCTGGCTTGCCCCCAGGCGGTTCTGCAGGGCCTAGCCCCAGCAAGTGTGGCCCAGTCCAAGCATCTCACTGCCATCTTTTTGCATCACTTTACCAAACCCGTGGGCGCCACACGCAACTCAAGCCCATTCATCTTTTCACGTAGCACACGACAACACGACGGGGAAATTGTCCCTGCCCCTTGCTTACTTTCACCGAGGACAATCAGCCTGCGATGTGCTCAGAGTCATTTTCACGGTAGCTGCTTCCCTTCCCACTCTCCACAGAGCACCCCTGGACCTTCCCGGCAGGGCAGCGTGGGAGCCTCGTGTCCAAACAGCTTTTCCCGGAGGAGCACCCTTCGACACAGCCTGTATCCGGGCCACCAGGGCCCTGCACTCACCATGGGATGGAGCCTGCCCGGGAGCCATCCCCACCCACGGAAAGAGCATCCAGGGATCTCCCATCAAGCTGTGGAGGGAGGCTTCCACAGAGAGCAGGGGGCATGGCCAGGCAGTCTGGGAAAGGCAATCCTAGGCAGGCCGGAAGAACAGAGGATGTACACTGGGACAGATAGAAACTGGAAACACAGGGAATCCAGGGTGGATGATCCCTTCAGGACCAGTGGTGAGAGTGGCAATACCTGGAGGGTAGAGGGAAGGTGAGGCAGAAAGGAGGAATGGATTACAAGGATCTACATATAACCCCCTCCCTGGTGGACGGACAACAGAAAAGTGGGTGAAGGGAGACATCAGACAGTGTGAGATATGACAAAATAATAATAATTTATAAATTATCAAGGATTCATGAGGGAAGGGGAAGTGGGGAGGGAGGGTAAAAATGAGGAGCTGATACCAAGGGCTCAAGTAGAAAGCAAATGTTTTGAGGATGATGATGGCAACAAATGTACAAATGTGCTTGACACAATGGATGGATGGCTTGTGATAAGAGTTGTATGAACCCCAAGAAGCTTACCTGCACCGTACCATCACCTCCAGCCATTCTCATTCACTTCCACAGCCAAGGCCTAAGGAGAGCTTGACGGACATGTGACCTCCCCAACACCAAACCAAACTCACTGCCATCCAGTCAATGCTGACTCACAACGACCCAATAGGACGGGTAGAACTGCCCCACCACCACCACCACCACCCCGGGAGATTCCAAGATTGTATCTCTTTACAGAAGTAGAAGACCAAACTTTCTGCCTCCGAGCAGCTGGCGGCTTCGGACTGCTGACCTTGTGGATGGCACCGCGATGTGTAACACCCCCCCCTCCACGGCCAGGGTGCCTTGACTCCTTGACCCCTCGCCTAGAAATGCTATAAAACCCTGGCCAGATGACTAGAGAGCTGGCCTGCTCTAGCGGAGTCTAAGTCCATGGCTGGTGTCAGAAACCAGGGTGGGGGGTTAAGTGTGTACAGCCAAAGAAATAGCCACCTACACTTGCAGGGGCTTCTGTTGTTCCTGGTCTCTGGAAAGATCTTACCTCCCTGCTCCTCAACGGCCCCCGCCATGCTCTCTCGCCAACAAGGACGAGGCCTTAGGCTACAGTGGCGTCTCTGACAACCAGAAGGAAACAGGGGGGAGCCCACGCCATACTTTCCAAGGGCTGGGAAGGAAGGATGGCCGTCATGATGGAGATGGTCCTGGGGGCTGGTGTCCCAGTCATCCAGTCTCATCTGCCTCCTGCCCACATTCTGTGTAGAGCTGCTAGACCTGCTGTTTGCTGTGACCTTTGACACCAGCTAACCCAGCAAATGCAGGGCCTCACTCGGAACTTTTACAACCACACCCATGCTCTCAATTGGGTCTTACGATTGTAGAACCTTCAGTTCACCAGACTTAGAAGGGATGTGAACGCTCTATTTCTGGGCCATCACGCTTGGTACACAGTTTAACTTCAGAGTGGCCTCTGCCCTTCTGCTCTGGGGCCCTCTGTCCACAAACTGTCATCGTCCAGGACCTGGGGGCAGAGAAGAATCCAAGGGACTCAAGACCCTAGTGGAAGGAGCCCCTCAGGTCTTCTAGCCTCCTTCTGAGCTTCTCCTGCCATAAAGCACAGCTCGGTAGTGCATGGCACCCTTCCTGTCTGTTGGGGAGTCAACTTTTCCTAAACTTCTAGTGGCTTATAGCCTGAGTTACTGATAGGATCTCCAGCCACCCTCTCCACGGTCCGGGAGAGTATCGGAAAGCCGTGCTGAACTGGGGCCTGTGCACACGAAGGGGCTAGAGTTGGGGAGCATGGTGATAGAAGTGGTGCCTCCGGCACACCTCCTGATGGTGGTTGTGCCAAAGGCGGATCTAGCATGAGGAAGAAGCAGGAAGCCACCTAACTCTCAGAGCAGGATGTGGACCTTCTGAGGTTTCAGAAAAGTGGATGTCGAAGTCCCAAACCACCAGAAGTTTCATTTCCCACCTGGAGAGGAAGGAGTGCATCACAAGGTAGTTTCCGATGACTGTGTTCATCTGCATGGGGGATTTACCGAGTGCCTGTGCTGTGTCCCCTCTAGGCATGCTCTCTGGCCCTGGCACAACATCCTAGGAGGTGAAAAGATGGAGCAGGAGGGAGGTGCCCCAGCTAGACTTCCAGGCTAGGAAATTGAGTGTTCTCCTGGTCATTCAGGAGATACGCACCTCATGCAAGCAGAAGACAAACTTCCAGGGACTAGAAAACAGTGCTGTCTCAAAAGAAAGGGAAGTCCAAGCTCAGTTATTGGCTTTCCCACATTCCTGGGCTTCTGAGACCTTCCCTGGATGAGGTGGAGGAAGAGAACACTCTGGCTCCATTTCCCCCTTCTTTAGTTTGGAAATGGACAAGGGCCACCATCAATGAGGAGGCCGTGGCGAGAGGAGGAAAGAGACCTACGTTGCTTGAAATGACCCAGCAATGCTCAGAATCATATCCAAGGAATGGTATGTCAAGCCTCTCCAGTCAAGACTGGAGGACACTGGAGCGTACAAGAAGCTTGGCAGGAGGGTGGGAATAGGAGAGAGTGTGAGCAGGGGAGGGGTTGAGGGAAGGGGTGAGTCACTAGGAAAGGAAAGAGAAGATGGTGATCACACGGGCCCCAGAGTGGATCCCCATGTCTAATGCTGTGATGGGGGATGGGACCTGAATACCATAGGTCCCTAAGGAATCCCATGCCACCCGCTGGATGCATGCCATAGAAACAGGGCAAAAAAAAATCTGCACGTAGAGAGGGCCTGTTGTCTCTCAAGTGGGGGCACACAGCACACACACCGCCCTCAGAAGCATTAACCATCTTGCTGGGGAAACATGTGGCATTGTTCATCATATGGGGTTTTCAGGACCGAGGACAGGGCTATGGATTGAATTGTGTTCCCCAGATGATGTACTGAAATTCGAACCCCTGGACCTGTAAACAGAACCCTGCTTAAAATGAAGGATTTGTTTGGTTTTTTTCCTTTGTCCATATCAAAGTAAGCTGTGCCCTAAACTTCATTTTTTCTGAATTATAAAAAGAGAAGAGGAAATGAACAAAAGCAGTACGGCCCTTCTTTGGAAAGTTGGGAATAGAAATGCATATGATCCAGGAATCCCAACACCTGGCATAGAGCCTAGAGCAGCGCTTCTTGAACTGTGGGTGGCGAGGGCATATCGAGTCACATAACTAAATGTGGGGGATCATACAACGCTAGGCAACTGTAAAAGTGAAATGACCCAAAATGAATTCAACGTGAAATGACCGAAAATGAATTCAAAATCAATGTGTCACAAATGCTTGCCTGTGTTGTGCCATGCAACTCCACTTCAGCCTTGTTGGTTCTGAACACACAACGTACATCCGTCATTCTGCTTTGTCTTCCAACAGCTTTCGTAGCACATCATTCACATATCATACAATCCAACAGTTCAGTCACCTCAAGAAGAGCTGTACACACATCACCACAATCCGTTTTAGAACATTTGCTTCATTCTTGTCCTCATCGTTATTCGCTCCCCGCCCCTCCCCTGCCATGCCCCCAAGGAACCATTAATCCAGTGATGGTGTCTATAGATTTTCTTATCCTGGATTGCATATACAGAAAAACAGTTTTTAAGTTAACTGGAAAGATAAAAAACCTAACAAGAATAACAAGGTAAAACCCTCAACCAAAACAAAAGCTGAAAATATTAAAAACTTAAACAAATTTAAGTGGACCCTAAGGGAGATCAAATGATAGGGTGCTGAATGGTAGCTTAACTACCTCGGCCACAATCCACTTTCCAATGCATTCGGCATGACAGCAAGGCTGTCCATGGGCCTGGTCCATGGTCAGAGGGACTCACAAGGGGCTTCCTCCACATGCATTTCCCCTTCACTTTTTAAAAAACGGTAGCAGCTTTAAGATGGGTCAAAAGGGAGATCAAACAATAAGATATTATACTTTGACCTAACTATGTCTTCCATAATCGACTTTACAATGCTCTCTGGTAACAAGACTAGTCCCTCAATTATAATTGGAGAGAATTTGCCAGAGGCTTAACCCATGTGGGGACCCTGCAACTGGAGTTGGGCTTCCACTGCCATCCATAGCCTTCTGCAAACCAGGTGCTCACAATTTAAGCTCCAATGCCACTCCCTCCTTTACATGTGAATAGTGTTTACAATCCTTGCATCACACAGGATGGTGTGCTTCTTCCATGTGCACTTAGCTGACACCTCGCTTAGATGGCTGCTTGTTCAAAGACAAACCTTTAAGCCCCCAGACACTATTCTTTCTGATAGCTGGGCACCATCTAGTTTCTTCACATTTTGCTATAGCATCCATATCTGCAGTGATTTCTTCATGAGGTTGAGATTCAAGCAGGTCCAAGTCATAAGAACGAATTGTTCTTACACTGGGGCTAGAACTAAGTGCAAGCCCCAAATCCATTCATCACCATGCACGCTTTGTACGGAGCACGCCATCGCGCCACAC